TGAAATTATCGAACATCACCATTAAATCACCGTTATTCCTTGTAAACTGTCAATAAATCACATTCATACTCCCAAAAAATAATTATATAATATAATAAATGTTCCAAAATCATTAGTAAATGCATTAATCGGTCTATATACTCAACAAATCGCTGTAAATACTCCAAAATCATCAGTTAAACATAATTAAACCGTGCATATTATCAATACAGCATCGTAGTTACGCGAAAGTCATCGACAAATGTTCGAATATCATCACTAGATCGCCGTTGTTACTACCAAATTGTGATAAATCACCAATACTCAAAAATCAGAAATAAATTCATTAATAAATCACTACAAACTACAATTGCTAAATAACTTCTAGAAATAGCTTCAACATTGCCAATGGTAGAGCAAAAGGTTTTAAAAAGTTAAGAATTGGATTTAACGACAAGGGAAACGGGCCAAAAAATGTCGAAAATGTTTATGTACACTTGAATCGAATCAGGGTGGCGTGAAAAGTAAATAAAACAATCAGAAACGAGGGCAAAACTCGGGTTACATATTAAATGTGGACCAGTCTCACAAACTCAACTTGCCCGTTATTCGCCATTAAGTCCCGGGTTGTTCTCCAGAGGTAAACAAAATCGTTGCGAGGCGAATTGCCGGAATAGTTTCACGGGAATATCATTAGCTGACCCGGCAGCGGTCGCAATGTCCATTCGCCACGACCGCTGACCACTTAATTTGGTTAATTGTTACATCGTCTGTGTCGCGTATCAAGTGTCTCATTTTGGACCGACTACCGTGCACGTCTTTATAATCGCTCACCTATTTATTCGTCTGTTTTTTTTTTCTCGAGTATTATTTAAAACACCGAATGCCAGTAATAATTACCTCTTTCAACAAGTAAATCCATATAAATCCTCAATTTTCCTGTATAAGTCAATCATCATAGACTGTTGTGTGCTTTCTAAAATTGTATTTTCTCCGATTGTTGAATATCTGCTCGAATTTTTGTTTATAGCTTTTAACCAATAACTCCTTATAAATCCGCTTTAAATCATCGATGATACCCGGTAAATCACCATCAGTCGCGTAAAATGTTAGGTTACCTCGATACCTGGCCAGGAAAGGAATTTAAAATATCTGGGTAATAGTAGTTTTAATTTATTATGAAGTGTGACTTACATTCTCGGTGGTTTTTTATTCGGAACTTAATTTGTTGTTGGAAAAAAAGGTCAAGCTGTGATGTAAGGTCTTCTAACGTTAAGTTTTTTTTTAAAGCAGCTGAACCAACCTTAAAAACTACCATTTGTATATTATTAGTGAATAATCGCCGATAAATCACTATAAATCTCCAATAAGTTCTTATAAATCCACTTTGGATCGTCAATAACATCCGGTAAATCACCAAGGTTCAAAATGTTATGAGAATGCCTGGAAAATTAATAAGCCGGCACCATAAAATTTATTATTAACCAACGATAGAAAAAAAATTAATGCCATTTGTAAATCGATAAATTATCGCAAATCGTCGATAAATCACTATAAATCCCCTATTAGCGTAAATCACAGTAATTAAAGCAAGAAAATCTTTATATTTTCGCAGTTTTTATTCTAACTTAATTGTGTTAAATGGATTGTCATCAAGTAAAAGCCACCTCACTCCAAGTAATTATTTCAATATCTACTCGGATTTTTGTTAATGATAAATGACTTTCAACCAATACATTGCTACTATACCTTACAGAGGCAGGAAAGGAATTTGAAGTAATACAAAACATGTTATGGGAACGCATAATTTTACAAAATTCTTGGAAAATTAGTAAATAGTCCCGTAAAATTTATTACAATCTGCGCGTTTTCGGTTAATATATTATTTCGAAACTTAATTAAATTTCGAAACTTAATTAAAAGGTTGAAAGAGTCATAGAAAATCTTTAGGGATTTTTTAAAATTTAAATCATTCCTAATTCATGTCTAAATTTCAAATCACACCTGCAACAAATAAATTCTTATAAATCCGTGCAAATTCTCTTTGGACGTTAATAATATCCGGTAAATCACCATCGTTCACGTAAAATGGTTGTTAAAGAGTCAAGGTAGGAATTTAAACTAAGACAAAAATGTTATATATATATATATATATATATATATATATATATATATATATATATATATATATATATATATATATATATATATATATATATATATATATATATATATATATATATATATATATATATATATATATATATATATATATATATATATATATCGTGAAAATTTAACAAACTAGCCCGGTAAAACTTAGTTACTATAAAGTTTACGCCAGTTTTCGGTAGATTTTTTTTTTGGTGCGCTTGTAAACTCCCTACGATAAATCACTATAAATCCCTAATGAATCTTTGTAAATCTCCAATAAATTAGCGCAAATCGCGGTAATTGTTTGAATCTGTTTTATCAAGTATTTTTTTCGAAAAAACTCACCTATCGAAAATGTATTTTATATTTTCTTTCGTTATCACCATAGTTTTATTTTATTGTTTGTGTAGCCATATTCTAGTTTTGTTACGTTAAGTTGGTGGAAGCGCTGTTTTCTTTTTGTTAAATTATTGACGACCGCGGGGATCAACGACGACGACGAAAACGTGAGGGAAAAACGGAAAAACTCCGGAAAATTCGACGTTTTTCCTCTTATTGGCCGGAAAATAGGCATCGGGTAACGGAATCTACGTCGCTTTTCCGGTTTGTCGGTAAACGAAATCGGGCGACGAAATTTTCCCGAATATCCGAATCGTCTCCGATGTTTATCTGTTTATTACGCAATCGAGGAATCTCTCGGGGAAAACCTTGAATGGAAATTATGCGCGCCGGCCGAGCCCACCTCGCTGGCCTTATCGATATGCAAAACGTATACGTTATGCATAAACGGAAATGGTAGTGCGGGAAAGCAATTTCTTTTTAAATATCTACGGAAACAACAGCGATTTGATTGTGCAGTCACAAACCATAGCCCGTAGCTTCAGTGCCGTAGGAAATCCATCAGAAAAACCTTAAAGAAAGCTTCTTTTTTGGATCATTTTTGACAAAAAATTTCAACACAATCTGCTTTCCACTCAATACAAACCGTCTAGAAAGCAGGAATGTCCTTAAAATAAGGATTTTGTTTAGGCGATTATTCCTCCGTTAGACTTAAATCTTTGTCCCCAAGTCTGGGTATAGGTTTACAAGGAGGCTATTTAGAAAAATAAAAAAAATGTCTTGTATCATTCTTAGGTCGGGAATTTTTTAAGTGGCCCTCGTATATTGATGCAGAAACTGATCAGGATTATTACGGAAAAACGCACAGACTCAGAGTCTACCACACTGTTGCCATGACCTTTTAACCTCAACTACTTCCCACATTTTGAATCGTCGAACATTGCAAATGATATCACTTGTATCCATTTTTGTTTAAATCGACAACAATAATTTAACAATTCGATGAATACAGCTTAAAAATATTTATTTTCCGGCACTAATTGGACGATCCTCGTAGATTTATTGGATTATTTATCTAGTATCTTTTTTAATTTCGAATTTTGTTGCGTGAATTTTGATTGATTGACAAAAAGAGACTTTGGGTTGCGGCATGAAAAAAATACGGGGATTTAGCACAGCTTATTGATGATTTACATCGTTTTATCGATGATTTATCGCTATTTATCGCCCCTGAAAAGTTGTTTGTTATGCGTATTGTTATTATCTACTTTTTTTCATTGGTTTCCATTTAATGTAAATGCCAACGAAGAAGAAAACACTAACCAAAAAATAGAAAATTGCGAAATCGCACCTAAATTTATCTAATTTATCTAATTTTTATCCGCATTTTGCAAAAAAAAAATATATTGTTCGCCAATGTTTTCTTTTTCGAGTCAATTAAGGTCGGGAGAGGGCGCCCCCTTTTAATTTTGATTTAATTATCGGGTTTTTCTCGAAGAGTACCTTCTTTTTCCGCGACCGCTGAATATTCCATTAATTTCTTTTAAAGCGCTTTTTAATGTAGAACCGAGTTGAGCCTCACAGATTTTTATTCGACACTAATCGATCACCCCGAGTATCCCCCCCCCCCCAAACCGTTTGTAAGAACACTGATGCCGCAGCGACGTACTTGAAGGGGACCTTGTAGGGTTAATTAGTGCTAAACAATGTCACTCTATGGCAAAATTATTTTTCCTGATACAATTTTCTTTTAGTTCTGAGCCTGAGAAACTTCAGGCAAAGCGCTTTGAACTAGCATTTTGTTAATATTTAGTATTTACATTATCAATTTTTACAAAAAAAGATACGCTTTTCTAAATAGTTCCCTAAAAATAGTGTTGAAGTTTTTATTTTTTAGTATAAATGGATTTATCACAGTTAAAAAAAAATCATAGTGCAAAAAAATAAAATATCTAAAAGAGACAGATGTTAAACGGCTATTTTCAAATAATACAATTTAGGAGTTTTTGTTATTTATTATTTTTATTATTTTTTCTACGTTTTATGTAAATGTTAAACTTTAATATAATTTCATTATTGCAACTTTTCCCAGAAACGATTAATTTGGAATGCAATGGAAAACGTTTTTTTGGAAGATACTTGAAACCTTTTTACCTGAGAAAAAAAAAAGTTTTTAATGATTATTTTTGACATTTTTCTAACGGTTGAAAAAATAACGGACTGAACTAAACCAAAAAAACGTAGATTTTATTTTTTTATTGAAACAATTAGGTAGTAATAAAAATAAACATATTTTAATATAATTTCATTATTTGAATTTTTCCCACAAAGAGTAATTTGAGAAATCCATAAACTATACTAAGAGACGATAAATTTTATTTTTTTATTAAAAATATATTAATATTTCCTGGATGTGACAAAAAAAATCATAGAATGGGTGGTGCATTAACGCACCACTGGGACTTGATGGGTTAAAAGAGATCGTTATCGTTATCGGAAAATGGGGTAAATTTGGAATTTCGTTGCAGGGCGGAAATTCCGACGCAACGAAGCGACGCGGACAGTCCGGACTCGTCGCCCGGATTTTCCCGGAAAATTCCGACTCCGGAAGCGGTCCGCACCGCTCCCGTAACGGTAAGTCTAATTTTTTTCTCTTGTCTATCGTGTACCGAAGAAACGAAAAGAAAATTGTCGCTCGTTCAACTTCCTCGCTACATGAAAAGTCGATTAAGCGCGCTTGTATACAGGACGGACGCCATACAAGTGCGGAAAATATATCGAGTAAAGTACACCCATAGGAGATACGAAAAAAAGTTTCGCACATAAGTTTCTTGAACTCTCCTAAAGTTTTAAAATATTATAATTTTGTTGATACAGGGTGTCCCAACATCAACTTTGTGATTTCAAATGGAACTACCTATATATATCGACATTTTTCGAATCCTTGGTTAAAATAAAGGTCGCTATTTTAAGACATTTCTATTCACGTTTTGCATAGTTCAGGCAAAAATTGAGAGTGTTTTTTTTTTCATATTTTGATTGCCCCGTATAAAATTGTGTTGTGACGCTACTGGTCCAGGTATTGCAACGAGATTTTAACCACAGACTAAGGAGATGATGCACTACACAATCAGTTTGACAGATGCGTCTCACCTGATACAGAGTGTCCCAAATAGGTGGTGCCTTTTTGGCGTATTCAATTAACAAAATGTCAAGATTTTCAAATGGACCACCCTATATTTTTATTCAGATATCAATTCTAGGACAAAAAATAAGGTAAGTTTGTAATTTTTCTTATATTTAAATTCCTGTTGAATTTAAAGCTGCCCACTTGTTGGCAATATTAGGTATTTTGTAAATAGCAAACACATGATACTACTTCTTTTAAAGATATAATATTGCAGATATACGAATAAAACCTATAGAGCCCATAATTTCAATTTCTGCCTAAACTGTACAAAATTTGAATAAGAGTTTCTTAAAGAATATACAGGGTGTTCCATATAAAATTGCAAAATTGCACCCTGTATAAAGAAAATTATAATATTTTAAATGTTTAAGAGAGTCCAAGAAACTTGTACGAAACTATTATTCGTATCTCCTATGGGTTTCCAGATCTTATAGTGGGTCGTTATATTTGGCACACGGTGTACATTGAGTGTGTATAATAACTTGCTTTGAAAGTATACTAAAAAAAATTAATTAAATTTAATTAATTTAAAATTGAATTTGAATTTAAAATTGAAGCATTAAGATTCTAGTTTAAAGTGAAAGTGTACCAATTGCATCGACGAGAACCGATAAAATTATCAAACGCCTGTAAAGTAAATCGTCTAAAATGTGAATTGTTAAAAATTGTCAAAAATTACAAATAATCTTGCCGTATGCTGCCGTGGTATATTTAATGCCAATAATGTGGATTCAGTGCAAAATATTTAAAAAAAAAGACACGTTGATACTGCAGTAGAATCTGTTTGGAAGGCCAGATAGTTACCAAAGAAAATTGTATCAGTTGTATAAGACATACAAAAAATATAATTATGGAATACTGGGAACTGATATAACAGGCAGACGAAGGATCATTTTCTGGTAGGAACCAAAAGGGAGATGGTCTGCTTCAGTTGATGCTCTTGGACAGAAGAAGACCTGGCAGACATAGAATGTACTGGTTGAAAAAGCTTAGAACTTGGTTTTCCCTGCGAACACGAGAATTATTCAGAGCAGCAGTCAATAAAGTTCAGGTCGCTTTGCTTACCGCCAATATCTGGGACGGATAGGCACACCAGGAAGAAGAAGGAGAAGAAAAAGCAGTTCCAATTTTGGCTCTGATGATGAAGATGTATCATCATAAATATAAACTTATTATGGTTTACTAAATACAAGGGCAGCACCAAAATTTCCCAGCCTGAATATGAAAGAAACAAAGTAGAGTAACTATTTTTTATTATTTTTGATTTTGGTGTTATGAAAGTTTGGAAACTTACTGGTGTTCCCGTCTGTCAACCATATAACGCTGTTACTAAAATCATCAAAATTTATTGAGAGTGGGAACTTTTGAACAAAAAAATAAAAAAAAGAAGACTCAGAAACAAAAAACTAATTAATTTGGCAATTTTATATCCTTAAAATAACAAGCACTTACAAAATTTCCACGTCTGCCGGCGTTAATAAAAATCTGATTGGAACCATTTTCTGTAGCACACACTGTATACGCGTGCGGCTCGATTAGCACCGCACTCACGCAATTTACGATGTCGTTTCTAAATCGACCAACATTTTACAAAAGAATGTGCCTAATTGCATGTGTGTGTATATGATTTCGACGGCGGCTACCAGTGGCGCGCCACGCGAAATTTATGTTACGTGACGATGAAAAACATTTTTTTTTACACGTTTATTTAACAATTGTTTAAGTTGATACTGTAATAGGAGGTCCCTCTGTTGAAAAGTGGCTATTGATTTTTAACCCAAGGTCAAGAGGATTCAAGACATCAACCGAAGAGACCAATATTAAACTTGCTATTAGAAACGCCCAAGGAACAAGGAACAAAGGTCTGAGGGTATTCCCATAGAACAGTTAGCAAAGCTCGTGCCTGAGAAGTGAAAAGTGCCAGATATCTGGAAAGTGAGACATCAAAATAAATGAGAACTAAAAGTTCAGATTTTCACGAAATTATATATTTTCACATGACAATTGTTTCGACAACACCGTGTCTTTATCAAATGTAATATTTACAAACTACCTGCTACTATATATACCGAAAAATGACCGTAAAACCTTAATTAATGTTGTTGTGAGAATTTAAGTTCAATAAAGAAGTGGTATTTAAATCTACTTGATCGTTAAGCAATACATTTGAATGTCTCATTTTGTTAATCTCCATGGCTTTTTGTGGCTGTATGTAAAATATCAAAATTGTCTTCAAAAATGTGTTTTTCTGTATTTAAGCATGTGAAATAATTAGTATTTAGACTATTGTTTTTAAACGCTCTTTTATGTTCGTTAATGTTTTTCTTCTGTGTGTCCAATATAAATTTTAGGACAAGATCCGCATTTCAACCTGTACACACCTAATTTTTGATGTTTTGGACATTTCGTTTTATTATTTTTGAAAAATTTTCCTATTCTGTCGTTAGTTATGAAAGCTATTTTTAAACCACATTTTGACAAAGGTTTGGAACTTTTTCGCTAGGGTCTCCTATGTATGTAATTGTTTCAAATTGTTCGTAGAAGAAAGAAGAAACCTTCTACTGGCGTAGAACTAAATAACTAGAATCAGATTCTCAGTAGAAGGAACCTTCTACAGGTGTAGATGTAGAAAAATCGCAATATCTGTATTGTTTAACAGTTAAATGTGATGAATAAAATTAAAGAAATGATATTGAAATAGCCATAACCAGTAAAAGAAGCCTTCTAGTGCTGCAGATGTAGAAAAACTGTAATATCTAGTAAAATGAAATGAAGTAAATGTAGAAAAATCTCATTATCTATATTATTTGATTATTTAACAGTAAAAAACTAGAATCATATCCTCAGCAGATGAAACCTTCTACTGCTATAGATGTAGAAGAATCGCAATATCTATATTACATAATAGTAAAATGAAATGAAGAAGATGTAGAAAAATTGCAATACCTATATTATTTAACAGTAAAAAACTGTAATCAGATGCTTAGCAGAAAGAACCTTCTACTGGTGTAGATTTAAAAAAAACCGTAAAGTCTATATTATTTATTAGGAAAATGAAATGAATAAAATTAAACAAATGATATTGAAATAGCCATGACCAGCAATAGAAGCCTTCTAGTGATGTAGATGTAGAAAACCCGTAATATCTATATTATTTAACAGTAAAATGAATTAAATAATATTGAAACGGTCGTGATTTGTAGAAGAAGCCTTCTACTGTTGTAGATGTAGAAAAATTGCAATCTCTATATTATTTAACAGTAAAAAACTGTAATCAGATGCTCAGTAGAAGGAACCTTCTACTGGTGTAGGTGTAGAAAAACTACAAAATCTATATTATTTATTAGGAAAATGAAATGAATAAAATTAAACAAATGATATTGAAATAGCCATGACCAGCAATAGAAGCCTTCTAGTGATGTAGATGTAGAAAACCCGTAATATCTATATTATTTAACAGTAAAATGAATTAAGTAATATTGAAACGGTCGTGATTGGTAGAAGGAGCCTTCTACTGTTGTAGATGTAGAAAAATTGCAATCTTTATATTATTTAACAGTAAAAAACTGTAATCAGATGCTCAGTAGAAGGAACCTTCTACTGGTGTATTTGTAGAAAAACTACAAGATCTAAATTATTTAATAGTAAAATGAAATTAATAAAATAAAAAAAAATGATATTGAAATAGCCATGACCAGTAAAAGAAGCCTTCTAGTGCTAGTGTAGATGTAGAAAACCCGTAATATGTATATTATTTAACGGTAAATGAATTAAATAATATTGAAACAGTCGTGATTGATAGAAGAAGCCTTCTACTGCTGTAGATGTAGAAAAATTGCAATATCTGTATTATTTAACAGTAAAAAACTGTAATCAGATGCTCAGTAGAAGGAACCTTCTACTGGTGTATTTGTAGAAAAACTACAAAATCTATATTATTTAATAGTAAAATGAAATTAATAAATTTAAACAATTGATATTGAAATAGCCATGACCAGCAATAGAAGCCTTCTAGTGATGTAGATTTAGAAAACCCGTAATATCTATATTATTTAACAGTAAAATGAATTAAGTAATATTGAAACGGTCGTGATTGGTAGAAGGAGCCTTCTACTGCTGTAGATGTAGAAAAATTGCAATCTCTATATTATTTAACAGTAAAAAACTGTAATCAGATGCTCAGTAGAAGGAACCTTCTACTGGTGTAGGTGTAGAAAAACTACAAGATCTAAATTATTTAATAGTAAAATGAAATTAATAAAATAAAAAAAAAATATATTGAAATAGCCATGGCCAGTAAAAGAAGCCTTCTAGTGCTAGTGTAGATGTAGAAAACCCGTAATATCTATATTATTTAACGGTAAATGAATTAAATAATATTGAAACAGTCGTGATTGGTAGAAAAAGCCTTCTACTGCTGTAGATGTAGATGTAGAATTTAATA